GCCGCTAAACTTCCATTTTTGCAAAACTAATAATATATTTGAAATCAGCAGCAAAAACTGAATCGACTGGTGTGCGTTTCAGATGTTTTGGACAACTTCGAATCGAAGTGGCATTAATTAACGATAATGAATTTTCTGAAAACTGATTGAATGGCAATTTCATGAGGTTGGATAAAGCTCGAAATTCACTGTAAGATGGACCAATTTTTAATTGAAAAGGTGACAGTTTACCGTTGGATCAAAGTTAATTTACATCGTCTCAGCCGTTTTTGCTGTGATGGTTATAATTACTCCAGCTGAGTACGTTGACTGCTTATAATTACCCCAAAGAGTAGCGCACTGGAAATTGAATGGCATTAATTAACGGTAATGAATTTTCAGACAATTTTTACATCAGTGCATAGCTGAAAGTCATATGTATCTACCTGTGTAGTCACCATCTTTCTCCGACTAAAAATGGTTCAACCATTCGTAAAATACTGAGCAAAAGTGTGTGCCTGGTTATAAATGAGTGTAAAACAAAACGATGATTCAAAAATTTCCAAGATCTTGGAATCTTAAAATTTCTTTAACTTCTTACGTTTTCTTGCCAAGATCTTGAGCGAAGATCTTACTAAAAAAATCCAAGTAGTCAAGATCTTGATTCGAGAAGTTTCACTGGTGAGAGCTATTGTCTATTAATCGCCTATCAATCGATCATCTTACAAAGTGGGAAGCATGCGTAGAGCAACTAGTTCTTTTGTGTTAGTTGATAAAGGAAGAGAACCAACATATAGTGGAATCGGCTCTTCGAGATTTTTAACGCAGAATGATAGTTCTGAAGCGAAATTTTCCATAAATGTGAGGCACAATGAGTTACGGGAATAAACAATTTTTTTTTGTCTCCATGTCTTACGGTTTAGAAGTTTTCCAGGTATCAACGTCCAAAAAGGACCTCGAAGTATTTCCCAAAAGTTCTCCACGACCATTCTTCATCGAACTGCACTCACTTTAGGTCTGAGGCTTTTAGTAAAGTGAATGCAGTTCGATGAAGAATGGTCGTGGAGAACTCGGAGACTTGTCATTTTGTTCAGAAATATTCGCTCTATCGAATGAAGCTGTTTGCAAGAAGTATTTGGTCAAACCCAGAGAACTGGTTTTGAGGTCTTAGTTTTCCAGAAATCCTTTCTTAGCCTACGCTTACGATGTTAGAATTTTTTTTTGAATATTATATTCTTGTTCAGAATTGAATTCTCTTTCGAATAAGGTAGGTCTCCACGTTTGCAACATGCTGGTGGTACGATACAGAAAGAATTATGCTCAATGATATCAGTTTTCGATTAAACGAGGGGTCAAATTCTTCCATTTAACTTCCAGACGAGACTTATCTTACTCAGTTTTTGATGCTCTTTCGAATGGCTTAATTAGAATTTTTTTTCACGCATCCATTCTCGAGATTCCGAGGTCACACTGAAGAGTATAGTACTTTGGGCTTAAAGTCGCGTTTTCATCCTAAGGAAAAAACTTTTTAAAATTATTTCTTTACCAAAATGTAGCTGACGCTCACCTCTATCGATTGATGGTTGTTGGTTGTCTACAAAACGAACAAGGACCTAACTGAAAAATCGGCGCCGGTCAGCCTATGTAGCTTGGTGTCTAGTTTAAAATAAAACAAACCCGAACTCTCTAGCTTGAAATATATTAAAAAATTTTGGGAAATACTTCGAGGTCCTTTTTGGACGTTGATACCTAAAAAACTCCTAAACCGTAAGACATGGAGACAAAAAAAAATTGTTTATTCCCGTAACTCATTGTGCCTCACATTTATAGAAAATTTCGCCAAGATCGGATGTATGGTGTCGGAGATAATTTCTGAGGGGGAGGCCTTAAGGTCTTTGGTAAAACTGAATATCTTAGCAACATAACAAGGACGGAAACTAACATTTAATGGAATCGACTCTTCGAGATTTTAACGCAGAATGATAGCTCTATCAATCCTGTATATATTAAAAAATTTTGGGAAATAAAGTGCAACTCTAACTTACTTCAGGTGTAACTCACATGTAGAGAAAATGCTGTATTAAACGCTGTATAAAATGCTCAATTTTAGGGCTTTTAGGAAAATGCCTGTAACTTTTTAATGCAAGGTTATACAGAGTTGTGCAACGTCTTCTTTTGATCAGAAAAGTTTGCTCTATAATCTAAGCGTTGAGAAAAAATTTAATTGCGTAAGTACCCAGGAAAAAACTATTATCTTAAGATCCGGTTTTTGGGAGCTCCTAGAAAACTTGCTCGAAAGCCGCAAAAAATCGCTTCTGCAGCCCTTAAAGAACTCAAAACAAATCCAGCATTTTAGAAATTTATCATCTTTGAACTCTTCTAAGTCGGTGATTACCTAAACCGAAAAGTTTTATCATAAACTCAACATAGTGCATACTAAAAATACAAACGACCGAGAGTTTCGGTATACTTTCATTCTTTTGTAATAGATGGTGTGCTGAGAGTTAAAGTCTGTAATTTTTGCAACTCTGCAGATGTGTCCCACTAAAACTAAACTAAACATTAGATTGCCAATCGTTTTCGGTTGAATTTTGATAAAATCGCGTTTTGTACCAGAGAACACGTTTCAAACGTACTGACGATGCGCGAAAAAAAAGATGACACCTTGAACCAATTGAATATATATTTCGATTCCATTTTATGTTTAGTATACCACGTATTCAGTCATGAATCACAGTATGATCCTTGAGACCTTCTAAAACGGCTGACTGGACTCATGTGGGAGCCTCGTTTCCTGTGAAGACGATTATCAAAACTGAGTCATAAGAATAACTTTTAACAACGAGTTCAGTGATATTACTATAAGAGTTTAATTTCCCTACTAGTGTAGTACTAATGTATCGCATTTTCAATAAAACTGATCTTTTCTATCGTATCAACCACCAATATTCTACAAAAGCAGTAATAATTTATGAGATGAAATTACCTTTTTTATAAAACTCGGTCTAAAGATCAATTCATGCGAGTATTAACGTAACGGTATAATATGCGTGATTAATCTCCACTTGTGATTACGTATAGAAAACCATTTTCATGCTATTTAACATGCAATGTAGAGTTTTTTGTATATGGATTCACCTACTTTTTTTAATTATCAATCTAAAGAAATTTCCGTGTCAATTTATATGTGAGGATTCGATTTTTTCACAGCCATCATCGTTTTTATGTCACTGCTAGATATTTTTGAGGACTAGATTGAGTGATAGAATAGGCTGCTCCTTCTTGGTGCCGGCTATCCACGTGGACATGTATCGCGTGTAGCAGGGAAAATGAACCGCTCAGTAATTTCTATTTTTTTCGTGTTCCTTTAAGACCCTAAGGTTAATGTTTTTTCAAAACATGCGCCGCGAAATACTCTACAATATCATACCTAAACTTTAACTTCAGAACTTTAATCAACAAACTACGCAAATTATATGAAAAACGAAACAAATGAAAAGTTTGTAAATTTGGTACTTTTTTGGACTTAAACTTTTCTTCTGCTATTATTTCCGTAAAAAAGTATAGCAAAAGTGAGAACTTAGTTCTTTTTGTACTTTCGAATGTGCTCTTTCTTTTGGTTTGTAAAAAAGGTTTTTTACAGCAAATGGTGTGCTCGAGAGCGAAGTTTCAAAAATATGTCAAAAACTGACAACCTCCCGCTTCGAACAATATGCTCAAGTGAGAAACGGAAAACATGACCGGAGTTTTAATTTTACAGTTAGGTTGAGAAAAGCAATCATTTTTTATAAAAGAAAAAAAAATGGATCGAAAAATCTTTTGTATTGATGTTGAATATTTTGTTGACAGAACATGGGGGCTTTATTGGAAGCACCTCCACACACAGAATTTAAAAAATTCCAGATCGAATTTAAAGTAGCATAAAAAAGAATTATTTTCCACGCTAGAAAAAGTTTCTAAAAGATGTATTTGGTCTAGCGAGTGCGCAAAAAAGCGCTAAGGCCCAATTCAACTAAAAATTTGATACATATTGCACTATGTGTGCTACGTCCATAAAACTAGCACAAAGGTACGCAACGTTTTCTGTATCCCACAGCGCGTTTCCTAAAATCTCCTGCTTTTTCACATAAAATCAACTGTTCCAATCAAAAAGCATCTGTTAACAAAAATCAATAGTATATTCGGAATCAGCACGTCGAATTGCATTGAACCACATATAATACAATACGTTTTGGATAAAATAACTAACCATCGAAATATTTTTCCATGAACTAACAAGACTAAAAAATATTCACTGTACTATATCGATGAAAGAAAATATACACATACTTCATCTGCCTTGACAGTTTTTAAATTTTATTATTTCGTTTTGTTTCTAAAGTGAAAATAACAACTATTATATTGCAATATGCAAAAACATAGATTAAAAATTTAATTTGTTAAACATGCACAAAATAAAATAAAATAACAACAATAGTAACGACAACAGAACAAAAATGTTTATATCATGATAACCGATCTGATACTTATTATCTGACACAGAGGAATCACTCGGGATAAACAATAAATGTTTATAATGAAAAGTAAAAGAAAAAATGACTGACATATCACGGTTTAGATGTAACAACAGGCAATTCCTGATTTTCCAAGAGCAGACAACGGAACAAGAGCACATGTGCAAAGAAAATCACATAGTTTTTAGTGTTTCACTTTATACTAAAATTAAAACTAACAACTGAAGCTCAACAACAAGAAGGCGATTGGATTAAACAATAAAAGCCCTCAAAAGCAATAGAAAACGAAAAACTGAGAAGTGTAAGCTATCGTATATATAGAGGAATGAGTAATAGTTTTCGTTTTTTTCTTAACAACAAAAATTAATTAAAGAAAATCCAAATATGACTAGAAAAACTCGAAACTTATCTTTTACAGTATTAGTCAATGGTCTAACTGCTACTGAAAAGCTATCACATTCATTTTTTTTATCAACTATATACTACGAATAATATTTGTGCACAAAGTTAGCGAATATCATTAAAGTAATTATGTTTTATCGCCTCTGTGGCTGTCAAACGTTGATCTGGTGCATACCGCAAACATCTTGTCATTATATCAATTGCATCATCATTCATTGACGGCGTATAATTTTTCAATGATGTTTCATTCCATTGTGGAAATTCTAATTTATAATGAGGTAACGCTGTTATACCCGGCCAGATATTTTCATCTGGGGTACCTTCAAAAAAACAAAAATAGAAACAACGAAATACTAAATCTAATACTATTAAATAGATTCTTTACTACGCTGTAGAACTTTCTGATATTCGTCTTTCCCATTTCTACTTACCTAATATTCTAAATATACATAATAATTGACAAATTTCTGAATCACCTTTAAATAATGGTGAATTACGTAACATTTCGGCAAATATACATCCAGCAGACCCTAAACAGACAAAACTAACTAATCAATTAATCTATGAAGATATATTTATTATACATACATAGATCGACAGTCGTTGTATATTGTTCAACTCCTAATAATATTTCAGGAGGTCTGTACCACAATGTAATTATCTAAAAGATCTATAGTTTCAAGAGAAAATTGTGATTATGAATAAAATCGTTTACCTCTCTTGAATAAACACGATTTTGTATACTTGTATCTCGTGCTAATCCAAAATCAGCTATTTTCAAGTTTCCAGATGGATCGAGTAGAAGATTTTGTGGTTTTAAATCACGATGAAAAACTATAAGAGTAGAGCAAATCTGTATAGTTAATCTAGCTGAATTAGAAAGACAGTGATTTGATACTACTATAGTAAGAAGATAGCCGCAGTATGTCCTGTTTTAGATCTAATTCTGCGAAGAAAAATAGCAAAACCTTCAACTTCCTTTGAAAATAAAAATATCTATAAAGGTCAATCGCTTGGATCTTTTTAACATTTAGAAAATAGATAATATTAACATACTCTTTTGTGAATGACAATATTCTAGTCCTTTTAATATTTGGTAAAAATATAATTTTGCTTGCATATCTGACAAGGGCTGATTGACATTTATCATATATCGATGTAAATCTGTACTCATTAGTTCAAATACCAAATAAATTTCTTCATTGTTTCGAACGATTTCTAATAATTCAACAATATTTGGATGTTTTAATTCACGTAATACATTAACTTCTCTTATAACAACACATAATAGACCAGAGTATTCACTGTCTAAACGCATACATTTAATGGCTACATGACGATTATGTCGACAATCAATCGCTTTATAAACGGTTGCATCTAAATGTGTAGTTACAAGTGTTGTATATAGAAACTAGTATACAAAAGAAGAATACTCACATGTACCACGACCAATTTCATTTAACAATTTGAAATCAAATCGATTTAAAAATGATGTCATGATATTTTTATTTACAAACAAAATAAATAAGTAATAAACATAACTCGACACCACAACAATGAAACAAATATAAGACAAAAAAATACTGTCTAATTTACAATGGTATCTAAAACAAATGTAAATAAAACGGATCGAATTTAGCTTAAACTCAATAAACGAGAACTGTAAATAAAATTGATCAAACGCAAATGGAAAAACTACATTCATTCCACAATTACTTTCGAGTATCTAGGCGAACGTCAACCAACGTTGTTTCTCTCACCTTCGTCTCATTCTTGGTCAAATAGAAAGAAGAGAAAATCATTCAATAGTTTTCTCTTAGACAATTAGAGTCTTGTCATATTTAGTAGAAGGCTAGTTGTTTCCAGTAAATCAATCGCGCTATTCGGCATGATACAGTAAAACCTCTCTAATGTGCCCATCTCTGTATAGTGTTTCCTTTGGCTTGCTCATATTTCAAGAAAACAATACTAAACGAATATTTGTTAATACACAATCGTCTAATACTAAGCAACATTAGTAGAATAGGCATTAACGAAATTAATTAATACAAAAAATAAAATATTAATAACGCAATATTTTACCAACCGTTAAAAACAGTCGTTGACTCTTTAAACTGCTACGATATCATATTATGAATAGATAATAAAAATAACATTAAAGTATTAACATTAACAGCAATTAGGGTGTGAACAGAGAAATTCAGGCTATACTATCACAAGAAGAAACATTATTTAAACAGCTAGAATAAACCTGATGTTCTAAACAGATTGAAATGTTGTGGCAATCAGGATAAATAAGACATCATAAATAAGACAAAGAACATGTTCAAAATATAACATGAATGCTATTTGTACGAAGAACTAAACTAAATTCATTATTTTATTTAATAATGCAAGATTCAATTCAACTCAAACTAGAGTCATCATCAAGCACACAACATAATAAGAGGAATGATGTATATGTTGCAGTTGAAATTAAAATTCCACTAGCGAAGATTACACTACTAGTGGAACTGAAGTATGTATTATCCATAAACTAGGCTTTAAAATGCAAGATCGAGCGAGCGCTCAGGCTTCCAGAACTTGATGAGAACATCCGACTGCATTGCAAGATGTGAGAGTGAGTGACAAAACAATATGCCAAGTGATATGATCTGACACATTCGTATATCTAGGCTCTGTACTAACTCTTACATCTTGCAATGCTGTCGGATGTTCTCATCAAGTTCTGGAAGCCTGAACGCTCGCTCGATCTTGGATTTTAAAGCCTGGTTTATGGAGAATACATGCTTCAGCACATGTGCAGGCATCTACATTTTATTTTTCACTAGTAGAGATTAAAATTTTAATCTCCACTTTAATTTCAACTACAACGTCTATATGCTGAACAGAAAATGAGGTGATCGTCAACTGATTATATAAGTGAATCACTGAACGAACCTTTAAACACTTGAAGAATCTTCCAGAAAAAACTATAAATGGTACGTGAACGATTAGTACAAAATGACTATAAAAAAAAACTTCAGTGAAGCACCATCAGTGCGTATCGATGTACATGGCATATCATGGGGCACTAACACTGATGCCGAACGAGTACCCATAAGTATACTTTACACCACCATGGTTGCGTACCTGTGTACAATCAGTTCTGATAATATATTTTTTCATAAAAGAGTGTTAATTCTGAACCTGACTAATATGAATCAAAAGAAAGAATACAGATTGTCTGCCAGTGGAGTGGATATGCTCTCTTATTGGTTAACTTCGCTTCTCACTATTTGTATGTATATGATGATGTTGCTGTTGGTATAACAGTTCTGTTCAAGTATTCGTAGGGATTGTACAAAAAGTTTCGATTTTTCTACAAGTTTTTAATCTTTCGTTGATGTACTATCATTGCTGTTGTCGTTTTTTTCTCTTTTAGCCCTATTCGAAGGCGCTGCGCTCATTCGTTACTCCAATGTTTACCAGAGCGTGTATAATCATTCCATAGAAATAAGATAAAGAAGAAAAATGAAAATTATACCTTTCTATCGTCTCTCTACCTAACGTAAATAAGTAAATAAAAATAAAAGACAAAGGCAGCACATAATAAGTTGTTTCTTACAACTAAACTAAAAGAAGAAAAAATTGCATAATCAAATAATCATCACGATAGACAATAAGAAGAAGAAAATGACATATTAGATTTTCAACTCCGATACGGTTATTGTAAGTATCATCAACTTAATATGCAAATATATACTTTACAACAATAAATGCTAGTTTGCTTTAAATTAAAAAAACTCTATCGGCTGATTTGCAAGTCGATTATTTTTTTCTTTCTTTTTTTTTGTAGAAAAAACAGCACAATGTCTTACTTCGAGTAGCTCTATCATTATCCTATTTGTAGTAGAAATTATCAACGCTCATTTCCCTGTTCCTCTTGATTCTTCATATGGATTTGATATCAACAACAATTTGGAATGAAAACTTTTGGTTACCAAAAAATGTGACATGGAAAGATTTTTCAACATTAGAAGAAGAGGGTGTTCGTTTACCGGCATTACATGATTTACTCTATGTTTACCCGCTTGCTGGTATGCTCTACATAGCCAGATTAATCTTTGAACAGTAAGCACAAAGAAAAAAACAAATCTCTCTGACTTTATCTCCTTTTTACCTATTTAGCTATATTGCTCGACCGTTCGGTCGATCATTGGGGCTTCGTGACGTTCAAAATTCAACTACACAATATAATCAACAACAGCAACAGCTTAGTCGTAAAAAAGGGAATAAGACGAATGTGATAACTGATAATCAGTCCAATTCAACATATAAACAACAATATCCAACAAACGTTATACATCGCAAACAACCATCAGTATGTAATACATACGCCTCGCAGATTATAGATGTTAGATATTTTACATTGAATGCACTTTTCCTTAATTAAAAGTCTTAGCATCATTTTCCTAAGAAATATATGATTTCTCTTTTGCTGCACTCTTAAAGATGAATATTTTCACATATACTATGCTCTCTCTCTCTTACAGGATGGTCGTGGCGATTCATTAAAAAGCGCAAATGACAATAGAAAACCTTCATCTCTGATATCTTATCATCGTGTACCACTATTAGCCAAATTTAGTGAATCATGCTGGCGTTTTGTATTTTATTTATCTGTCTTTATTTATGGTCTAATTGTTCTTCGTAATGTAAGTACAATAGTTCTTGCCATTGACCAATGAGTGTAATCTGTTGTTTCTTTTGCTGAAGAAACCATGGCTGTGGGACACGCGGCAATGTTGGCTAAGTCATCCAAATCAACCATTAACAAAAGATATATTTTGGTACTATATGATTGAATTAGCATTCTATTGGTCGTTGATTTTTTCACAATTCATCGATGTTAAACGAAAGGTTAGTTAACATATAATAAGAGTATATCTATTAAATTTGGTTACTTTCATTTACATAGGATTTTTGGCAAATGTTTCTTCACCATATAGCCACTATATCATTATTATCATTTTCGTACATTGTCAATTTTGTTCGTGTTGGATCTCTTGTACTTGTCATACACGATTGCGGAGATTATTGGCTCGAGGTAATTGCATATTTAAATTCTTATAGAAGAAAATAATAACGTCTATACTTTGTTTCTGTATTTTAGAGCGCAAAAATGGCCAAGTATGCTCGTGCTCAGCGTGTCTGTGATACACTGTTTGTGATATTTGCACTTGTGTGGCTTGTTACAAGATTGTGTTATTTTCCTTATAAGTACGGGTTAAATTAAAAAAATATTTGCCATAAGTTTTTGTTATTTTTCTTGTTCTAGAGTTCTGTATACAACTACGTATGAAGAAGTAGAAATATTAGGTTATTTTCCCGCATTTTATCTGTTCAATGGTTTATTAATGTTATTACAGGTTCTTCATTATTTTTGGTTTTATCTTATATGTCAAGTAGCTATTGGAGCTTTAAAGGCTGGAAAGGTAAAAATAAGAAAATATCTTGTTACCACTTGGATGCGCTTGATTCAATTTGAAAAATATTTTGGTTTTCTATCTCCATAACTTTCGACATGTTGGCCATAAATGAGTGATATATTAAAGTTGCTCATCGGGTCATTATAAATTAATACAAAGTTTTCTTATCACATTCAACTTTACAAGATAGTAGTTTCTCATATCCTCTATTGAAACAATATAGACTCTCAAAACAGTTTTGAGAAAGAATAATTGATAAACTTCTTATAGAATCGTATTAACTCAAAAGTTTAATTGACCTACTACCGTTATTTTGATGTAGCAACTCTTTTTCTCAATATGAGATATGTGGAGTTACTTCTGAATGTCGTGAATATATTCTAGTTTTATTATGTAATAGTGCTGATTATGAAAAGTGCATACTCCCTTTCTCTCTTAATATATTGAAATCATGTTTTTTTTTATCCAAAAAATGGTAGTCAGTCGTCTATTTGATTTATTTGGTTTTATATTCTAATCTCATTTAATTACACTTGATATACATGCAGTTAGTGTCTTATTGAATACTTGACTATATTGTAATTATTATCTTTTATTCAGTTCGTTTTTTTTTCTTTCTTTGCATAAGTTAAATTTTTAGACGATAGAATATGTTTGAATCTCTATATAAAAGTAAAATACATATCTTGAATAATCATCGTCGGTAGTTAGAAGATTCATTATTTATTGCCAAGACGGTACATGTCAGACAAAAGACAGTAAAATTGATGTCTTTATGTACATAGAGAATTTGTTAATTTATAAAATGAGAGTGTACATATTTACTTTGAAAATTAATATGAAATAGACGTGATGTACAATAATATACCTCTTCGTTAATTTATTTTTTTCAAATATTTTTAATTCAACGTTTAATATCAAATAATTAGCTATTATATCATTACACCATGTACTCGTCTCTATAAATCTAAAAATAATTTATCTAAAACGGATCATTTTTATTTAAAAATAGTATTCAACAGTAGTAACAAAATATGGAATCGTTTTACAATACAACTCTAGTATTCCTTTGTCAAGAACAATTTTTAATTTAAAAAAACAAAAAAAATAATAAAGTGAGGATTAAACTGTCAACTTGATATATTTTTTTTCCTTTTTTAAAATTAATCGAAAAATCTTTTCTATCTTACAACTAAAGACTAAGCTGCTCTTTTGAAATCAGATACGTGCATAAATAATTATATTTATTATTGAAAAAATTACGTTCTGTTGATTTTAACGTATCATACCCTGATTAGCACATTAATTTTTTT